TCAGGCCGATAAGTCCGAGAAGAGGAGAAGGAGATTGAGCAGAGGCCGAGAGCCCCAAGGGGTAGTTGACTCGGGTCAAATTAACTCGGCTGAAGCGGCAAAGGTAGATATTTCTGCTTTGAGTCTTAAGGATGGCCCATCTTCAGACATCCCTCTCTCTAAGATTGCCGATGTAGTTATCTTAGATGTGTCTTCATCCACTCGGCCAATTGGGGAAGAAGGAGTCGATGAGCCCACTAAGGTCAAAAGAGGAGCAGAGGACTCGACAACTCTAGTCTCTTTGTTCGAGCCTGCCTATAAACTCAACAATGAGCCTATAAAGATGTCGGGTATGGCTACCAAGGAGGCACCCTAGCCCTAGGCATTTGATAAGCTACTGATAAACACAAATATTCTCTATAATTTGACTGTGTTTCACCTATGGATTTGTTATTATTTGATGTATTTCCTTGCACTTTTTCCCTGTTAAGCTCCCTAGTTCTTGTTTACTGCTCTATTTATATATTGTGTAGGAATTACTGGAGCTTAGTGCGGATTCGGAGTGAAAAAGGAATCAATGAATGCAAGGAAAGAAGGCTACACGGTCACCCCAGTGTTCAACAACACAGGCGTGTTGATTACAAAAGAAAAGCCTAGAAAGCAGAGCAAAATAGAGATAAACACAGCCTGGCCATGTCGATCTACACAGCCATGTCCGATATCGGTATTCAGTTATCACGCGATCTGAAGCAAGATTTGGAGTTATCTTTCAATACATCTTTCCCAGATTTAAAAGGGAGACGTCCTGAAGCATCGAAAAAGAAGGCAGAGGCTGGAGATCTTGATTTTTCTTTCTTCTTCTCTTCTTCTCTCTAAAAAAAACTCTTAGATTAAGTTTTCTTTTGATTTAGAACCTGCTGCTTGTGGAGAATTGTGTGCAACTTCAACACTACGGTTTATCTTTCTGATCTATCTCAATTTCCAGTTTATGATTATGATCTTATATATTGTTATCATGTTTTCTATTTCAATTATGTGTGAGTAATTGTCTTATCTGGGATTGAACTAGGTTTGGCCATGGTTATGAATTAATGAACTGATTTATGTGTGAGTAATTGTCTTATCTGGGATTGAACTAGGTTTGGCCATGGTTATGAATTAATGAACTGATTATTGTTGTTATTGACTGTTCGATTTGCATTATTCAATTACTAGTATCTAATTGCCTAGGATTAATTCAATTGGCCACTGATTTAATTCTTTTAGGATGTTGATTTGAACTGAAAGGTTATATTTACGTCGAAAAATAGTAATTGAACAAGAATTAATTGATCACGAAAATAGGTTAATTATTCTTGAGAACATGAGGGATTAACAAGAACTTAATGGGTTTAATTTAGTTCAACACCATGAAAATAGGTTGTTAGGCTAAATTAGGCACAACTTTTAGTCATCGAAAGAGACTAATAGTTATCATAGGTTAGTCGTTCTTAATGCATTGAGAGATTCAATAATAATTGATTAATTTGTTGATTCAAACTAGAGTTGAAACCGAAGTTCAATCCTAGATCCTTTTAATTAAGTGAATTCGCCGTTGATACTAGTTAGCGCGTTTGTTATTGATAGTCAAAAATCATACTTTTTAGCACGATTGATTTAGATAGTTACAAAATAGTGAAAATCAGTAATTAACAACGAAGTCCCTGAGGATACGAGCTTGCATCGCTATAACGATATCCGTGCACTTGCGGATTTGAGTGAACAAGTTTTTGGCGCCGTTGCCAGGGACTTCGGCATTGTTAATGTTGACTTTTTCATTATTTAACTAGACTAGACATTTTCATTCATTTATTTTATTTTTTATTTTTTTTCATTTTTTTTCATTTGACTTGTTCCCTTTTTTTTAGTGCAAGCAACCTTGTATGCCCAGATCCTTACGACTTGGAGAACCAATCGAGTGTGATCCCGAGATTGAAATGACCTTGCGTCATATTAGGAAGAAGGCACGAGAAACAAAGGATAATTTGAAAAGCAAAAAGATGGGAGACCAAGAAAACCAAGGTAATCAGGATCGATCCTTGAAGGAGTTTGCATCACCAACCACCCATAGCTCCCAATCAAGCATCCTGAAGCCTAATGTTGCTGCCAACAACTTCGAACTCAAGCCCTCACTTCTCTCTATGGTTCAGCAAAACCAATTTGGAGGCACTCCAACCGAAGACCCAAACCTCCATATCTCAATCTTTTTGGAGTATTGTGACACCCTGAAGATGAATGGAGTGTCGGACGATGCAATCAAACTAAGGTTGTTTCCCTTCTCACTAAGAGACAAGGCAAGGGCTTGGCTGTAATCACTTCCACCGGGCTCCATCACTACATGGGACCAACTCTCAGAAGCGTTCTTTGCTAAGTACTTCCCTTCGAGCAAAACAGCCCAATTGAGAAATCAGATAACAACCTTCACTCAAAAAGAAGGGGAGTCATTGTATGACGCATGAGAGAGGTACAAGGATCTTCTGAGGATGTGTCCACATCACGGGTTGGAGGATTGGCTCATAATTCACACTTTCTACAACGGTCTTCTCTACAACACAAGGATGACCGTGAATGCTGTAGCTGGTGGTGCATTGATGAACAAAAGTGTACGAGATGCAAAATAACTCATAGAGGATATGGCACAGAACCATTTCTAATGGTCAGGTGAGCGCTCTTTACCCAAAAAGAGCGGGAGGTATGATGTAGATTCATTAGACCACATTGCTTCTAGAGTAGATGCTTTATTTCAAAAATTTGACAAGATGAGCATGAATTCAGTAGCATCTAACTCTACTAACTATGAAATACGTGGTATTAATGGACATTCTGCTGTGGAATGTCAAATTGGAAACTCCCCTTCCTCTGATGCACCACTATTTGAACATGTTATTTACATGAATAATTTTAATCAGAAAGGGGATCCTTTTTCAAATACGTACAACCCGGGATGGAGAAATCATCCTAATTTATCCTACAAAAATCCATCCCAGAACCCAAATCCTCACTCTAATTTTTGACCTCCAGGTTTTCAAGCCCCTAGACTCCCTTACCCCAGTCGCCAAAAGTCTAACTTAGAGAGCTTGATGGAGAATTTTGTGTCATCCCAGAATAAACAAAATGAAGAATTTAGAAATCAGAATAGAAGTATGTGTGATGCCATCAAGAACCTAACTTCTAAGGTTGACTCTTTAGCCACCCATAATAAAATGTTAGAGAATCAGATCATTCAAGTGGCCCAACAATCTAGCTCTTCTTCCAGACCTTCTGGGATGTTTCCTAGGCAACCTGAAACTAACCCAAAGGGATCTATCAATGCCATCACACTTAGGAGTGGAAAAGAGTTAGAGGGACCAATGATGAGGAATGACCATAAGGATGTGGTTGATGAGAGTGAGAAGTTAGTGTTAAGTGAGAAAGAGCATAGTAGTGAGAAAGTTGAGAGATATGTTGCCCCTTTACCTTATAAGCCTCCACTACCCTTCCCTCAAAGGCAAGTTAAAGCTAAGTTGGAAAAATAGTTTGGGAAATTCATAGAAATATTAAAAAAATTGCATATTAACATCCTATTTGTTGAAGCCATTTCCCAAATGCCATCCTATGCCAAATTCTTAAAGGAGATTCTATCAAATAAGAGACGATTAGAGGAATATGAGACTGTAGCCTTGACCCAAGAGTGTAGTGACATCATACAAAATAAGCTACCACCTAATCTTAAAGATCCTAGCCCATTTTCAATCCCTTGCACAATTGGTGACATGTCAATTAATCGTGCTCTCTGTGATCTCGGTGCTAGTGTCAGTCTTATGCCATTGTCTATATATAACAAGTTGCAGATGGGAGACTTGAAGCCCACTACTATCTCCCTCCAATTGGCGGATCGATCGGTTAAACGTCCGGTAGGTATATTAGATGATGTACCTATCCAGGTTGGTAAATTCTACATTCTGGTTGATTTTGTTATTCTTGAAATTGAGGAGGATTCTCAAATCCCTATTATATTGGGAAGACCTTTCCTTGCTACTGCTGGAGCGGTAATTGATATGAAGAATGGAAAGCTCTCTCTCAATATAGGGGATGAAAAGGTGAATTTTGACTTGTTTTCTGCTATGAAATTTCCACTAATTGATGATACTTGCTGCAGGATTGATACAATTGATATGGTGGTTAGAGAAGACTTTATTAAATGCATCTCAAGTGATCCACTTGAGAAATGCTTAGTAGAGAATGAGGCACCAGTTGACGATGATCAGGAAGTACCTTCCTATGTTACGATGCTTGATGAAAGTCCAACCTGCACCAAAATCACCTACAGCAAAGGACCTGATGCAGTGGCTGAAACTACAAAAGAGTTGAATGCCCAGGTTGTGTTCATGGACACAGCCGTGTCAAAAAGCAGCAGAAACAGCCTAGAACAGGTTTGTGAAGGGAAAACTGCACCCAAGGTAGAACTAAAACCACTCCCCTCCTCTCTCAGGTATGAATTCTTGGACGCCAATGGTGAATACCCTGTAATTGTTAATGCTGATTTAAGTCACCAGGAAGTTGAGAAATTGCTTAAGGTTCTAAGGTTGCATAGGGATGCGATAGGTTATTACATAGACGATATTAAGGGCATTAATCTATCCATTTGCATGCATCGAATTTTGCTAGAAGAAGGGTACAAAACTTCCATTGAACATCAAAGAAGGATAAACCCGAACATGAAAGAAGTCGTTAGGAAAGAGGTGCTGAAACTACTTGATGCGGGGATTATCTATCCTATCTCAAATAGCGAATGGGTGAGCCCGGTTCAAGTAGTACCTAAAAAGGGAGGTATGACCATTGTCAAAAATGAAAAAATGAGCTAATCCCCACTAGAACAGTCACCGGTTGGCGCATGTGCATTGATTATCGAAAACTTAATAAAGCTACCAGAAAAGATCATTTTCCCCTCCCTTTTATCGATCAAATGTTAGAGAGGCTGGCTAGGCATTCTTATTTCTGTTATCTAGATGGGTATTCAGGAATCTTTCAAATCCCAATTCATCCTAGCCATCAAGAGAAGACAACATTTACATGTCCATATGGCACTTTTGCTTATAGGAGAATGCCATTTGGCCTATGTAACACCCCTGCGACTTTTCAAAGATGTATGATGGTCATATTTTCTGATTTTATTGAGAACATTATGGAGGTCTTTATGGATGATTTTTCAGTCTATGACATTTCTTTTGATGACTGTTTGCATAACCTTGCTAAGGTCTTAAAGAGATGTAAAGAAATGAACATTGTGTTAAATTGGGAGAAGTGCCATTTTATGGTACAAGAAGGAATTGTTTTGGGTCATTTAATTTCTAATCGGGGTATTGAAGTGGATAGAGCTAAAATTGATATAGAAGGAATTGTTTTGGGTCATTTAATTTCTAATCGGGGTATTGAAGTGGATAGAGCTAAAATTGATATCATTGCTAAGATGCCACCACCGACTAATGTAAAATGAGTTAGGAGCTTTCTAGGCCATGCCGAATTCTATAGGCGTTTCATTAAAGATTTTTCTAAAATTACCAAACCCTTAACCTGCTTGCTTATAAAAGATGTTCCCTTTGCATTTGATCAATCTTGTTTTGATGCTTTTGACAGGTTAAAGGAAGCTTTGACAACTGCCCCAGTTATGAGACCACCTGATTGGAGCATTCCATTCGAGATTATGTGCGACGCAAGTGACTATGCTATCAGGGCCGTTCTTGGGCAAAGGAAAGAAGGGAAAATGTACGCTATATACTATGATAGTAGAACAATGGATGAAGCTCAGATGAACTATGCGACAACAAAAAAAGAACTCCTAGCCGTAGTGTTTGCCTTGGATAAATTCCGATCATACCTTGTTGGGTTGAAGGTCATAGTATTCACAGATCAGGCTGCTTTGAAGTACCTCTTGGCTAAAAAGGATGCAAAACCATGACTGCTAAGGTGAATTCTCTTATTACAGGAGTTTGATCTCGAGATAAAAGACAAGAAAGGAACTGATAATGTGGTGGCTGATCATCTCTCTAGGCTCAGGCAAGAAATGGATCAAGGAGAAGGTGAAAAGGAGCCACAGGCAAGAAATGGATCAAGGAGAAGGTGAAAAGGAGCCATTTGATGATTCATTCCCAGATGACAACCTGTTTGCTGTTAGGAGAAGGTGAAAAGGAGCCATTTGATGATTCATTCCCAGATGACAACCTGTTTGCTGTTACAAGTCTTTAAGCCCCTTGGTTCGCTGATTTTGTGAACTATATTTCTTGTGGGGGTATTACCACCTGAATTGTCCTATCAACAACTCAAGAAGTTCCTATCGGATGTCAAGCACTATTATTAGGATGAACCTTGTCTTTATAAGCATTGTGCAGATGAAGTATTTAGAAGATGCCTGCCTGAAGAGGAGGTATTAGATGTCATATCCCACTGTCATTCTTCACCTTACGGAGGTCATGCAAGCACCACCAAGACCGCCGCTAAAGTTTTGCAATCTGGGTTCTATTGGCCTTCACTTTTCAAAGATGTGAGACGTTTCACGCTTAGTTGTGATCGTTGTCAACGGACATGAAATATCTCACGGAGGAATGCGATGCCACTAAATAACATTTTTGAAGTCGAACTCTTCGACGTGTGGGGGATTGACTTCATGGGACCTTTTCCACCATCACACAACAACAAGTATATATTAGTAGTAGTGGATTATGTGTCAAAATGGGCTGAAGCTTTAGCATCCCCAACAAATGATATGAAAGTGGTGGTCCAATTATTTCAAAGGGTCATTTTCCCCCGGTTTGGTGTCCCAAGAGCTATAATCAGTGATGGAGGATCTCACTTTGCAAACAGGGTCCTAAGTACGCTTTTAAGGAAGTATGGAGTAACTCACAAAATGGCTACACCGTATCATCCTCAAACAAGTGGCCAGGTGGAGATCACTAATCGAGAAATCAAAGGAATCTTGGAGAGGACAGTGTCTCGTTCAAGAAAAGATTGGTCTATGAAGCTAGATGATGTTCTTTGGGCATATCGGACAACTTACAAGACTCATATAGGTATGGCACCATTCAGGTTGGTCTATGGGAAATCATGTCATTTACCAGTTGAAGTGGAACATAAGGCACATTGGGCTATCAAGAACATTCATTTAGATTTGAAAGAAGTAGGAGAACAGAGAAAGTTCAACTAAATGAACTCGATGAATTGAGGTTGGATGCATATGAGAATGCCAAGATTTACAAAGAAAGAACAATAAAGTGGCATGATCAATACATCCTTCGTAAAGAATTTACAGAAGGGGACCTAGTACTTTTGTTTAATTCTCGACTCAAGCTTTTTTCGGGAAAACTTCGTTCGAGGTGGTCTGGACCATTCCAAGTGCGTAAAGTATACCCATTTGGGGCTGTCAAAGTATGGAGTAAAGCCACGGGAACCTTCAAGGTCAATAGATAGCGATTAAAGCATTATTTCGCAGGAACTCCGATCGAGAAGTTGGGTAATTTTACCCTTCCCGATCCATCATCATTGTGAGCATTGAAGGGGTCGAGCTCTCAATACATCCTTCGTAAAGAATTTACAGAAGGGGACCTGGTACTTTTGTTTAATTCTCGACTCAAGCTTTTTTGGGGAAAATCACCAAATTGGACCGCTATCATATTAGTAGATACGGTCTTCTGCTCTGGCTTCAGTGTGAGCACATTAGCATTCACCAGATTCTGCAAGATGTCCTTGAAGACATAGCACTTTTTGGTAGGATGTCCAAGGAATCTATGATATCGACAATAGTTAGGATCATCCACTTTCCCTGCTTCATCCGGCTTCCTGACTTCAGGCAATTGCAGCTTGTTGTTCTTTCGAAGCGGTCAATAGATAGCGATTAAAGCATTATTTCGCAGGAACTCCGATCGAGAAGTTGGGTAATTTTACCCTTTTCGATCCATCATCATTGTGAGCATTGAAGGGGTCGAGCTCATGACCATAAACAAGCGCTTCTTAGGAGGCAACCCAAGTTTCTCTTTCATTTTATTTTTCCTTTTAGTGTTTTAATTATTAGTTTTCATGACATGTAATTAGGTTGCCGTGAACTGGTGTGTAGGTGAATGACAAAGGGAAAATAGGTAACAGAGAGTTCAAGGCTAAAGAGGACAGAAGGAAAAATATTGAATACACAGTTTACACGGCTAGGCAGTGTCCACCAACACAGCCGTGTAGCAGTTGGGACAGTCTTCATCTCATTTCCATAGTCTACCACACCCTGGGAAGGCGTCCACCACACCCATGTTAAAAAAAAAGAAAAAAAAGAAAATTCCAGACTCCTTTTACCCCCCCTCACCCACCTTCTTTTTCGTTCTAGACCCCCCCCTCCTTCCACCTTCTTTGAACTAACCCTATCCTCACTTCTTCCTCATTTCAATCCCCACCTTAAAAACCACCTGACATCCCAATTAATTCCCTACCTCCCCAAAAGCCTATCAACTCCTGACAACCCCATTAACTTCTCCTCTCCCCAAAAGCCATTAACTTTCCCAAACCCAATTAACTGACTTCCCCATTAACTTCCCCCATACTTCCCCCACTCATCATCCCACTCCATGCCGAAGTTCTCATTACACATTAACTCTTCTCTAACCCAAAGCCAGGAATGACTCCAACACCAAGACAACACCTCTGAAGTTCCGACGAGAGAAGCACCGTCCCGCAACTCCAACGATCTCCCATTCATCAACTGAGGAACATAATTCATCCATTCAGCCCCATGGCTCCAAAACGCAGAAGAAACAATGACGCAACAACCTCCAACTCATCGACAACATTGCAACACTGGTCTACAAGGGGTAACCCTTCGCCTCCTTCCAATAACCCTGATGGTACCCCTACAACAACCGGCTCCACACACTTCGCTCCATGGTGCATCCACATCTAGTGCGTCCCCCAATTGGATCAACAGGTTCAACATGTTGGAGCGGGGGCAACAACAATTGAAAGAGTCCGTCCACTCATTACGACAAGATATGAGCACACAATTCACTGCCATTAACGTGCGTCTGGATGGTTTTGGCACTACACTAGGGACGATGAACCAATTGATACAAGATTTGCACCACTTTTCTCTACCTCATCCTTATGCACCTCCACCGCCACCTCAATGAGCGGTGAGTCCCTCTTATCCTCCTTTCAATTACTCAAACATATTGGGAACAATGTGCAATTCAAGCATGGGGGATTGGGTGTGTTGGGATGATGTTTCATGTATGCTTTGGTGTTTTTGAGTGCTTGTTTTCTGTGTTGGGATTTTTCATTTAGCTCTCATAAAAAAAGTACAACTGTTTGAAAACCCTTCTAACACATGCATCATTTATTTCACATGCCCCATTGTAAAAAAAAAATTCTTTGTTTCATGTTCAGTTGGTTAGGATGTTACCTGTTCGAGTTCCACTTTGTCGATACTTAACTCTAAACATTGGAGAGATAGGAATGGATTTTGGCTCAACCCATCTAATTAAAACCTAAGCTTCTTTGGTGACTTGGACTACTTTTTGGTTACTGGAGAAACACTCGGCCTTGTAAAAAAAAAGGGTCCTAAAGTCTGTTGCACCGAGTACCTGGCACCACACCCTCAGAAGTATGGCTGTCACGTCGGTAGATGTTAATTATGATGGGATCTTCAAAAAAAAATTGTATAAATAAATAAAATGCAAGGAAACCGAGTGCTCCTTTTAGACCTTAAGCAGGAAGAGTATGACCCATTGTGATGAGATATGTGTCTGTTACGAGAAGTTTTGGGTAATCAATTTTTTTTTAACTTTGTCATGTCATTTCTTTTTCCAACGTTTATGAGTTGAGTCACTTGCACTAACGTACGTGAACGCCTACAAATACATTTTCTTCAACTTTGAACTTAAGACTAGATTTCTATTTTGACATTGGGTTGAGTGGAATAATGTTGCATGTGAACTTGAGAATAGTGGATACCTTTGTGCTTAATTTCTATTTTCTTTGAATCTGTACCCTCTCATGTGTGTGTTTCCATCTGTTTTGCTTGAGGACAAGCAATAGTTCACATGTGTGTGTTTCCATCTGTTTTGCTTGAGGACAAGCAATAGTTCAAGCATGGGGGAGTTGATAAACATAAATATTCTCTATAATTTGACTGTGTTTCACCTATGGATTTGTTGTTATTTGATGTATTTCCTTGCATTTTTGCCCTGTTAAGCTCCTTAGTTCTTGTTTACTACTCTATTTATATATTGTGTAGGAATTACTGGATCTTAGCATGGATTCGGAGTGAAAAAGGAATCAATGAATGTAAGGAAAGAAGGCTACACGGTCACCCCAGTGTTCAACAACACAGGCGTGTTGATTACAGAAGAAAAGCCCAGAAAGCAGAACGAAATAGAGACAAACACGGCCTGGCCATGTCGATCTACACAGCCGTGTCCGATATTAGTATTCAGTTATCATGCGATCTGATCAAGATTTGGAGTTATCTTTCAACACATCTTTCCCAGATTTAAAAGGGAGACGTCCTGAAGCATCGAAAAAGAAGGCAGAGGCTGGAGATCTTGATTTTTCTTTCTTATTCTCTTCTTCTCTCTAAAAAAAACTCTTAGATTAAGTTTTCTTTTGATTTGGAACCTGCTGCTTGTGGAGAATTGTGTGCAACTTCAACACTACGGTTTATCTTTTTGATCTATCTTAATTTCCAGTTTATGATTATGATCTTATATATTGTTATCATATTTTCTATTTCAATTATGTGTGAGTAATTGTCTTATCTGGGATTGAACTTGGTTCGGCCATGGTTATGAACTAATGAACTGATTGTTGTTGTTATTGATTGTTCGATTTGCATTATTCAATTACTAGTATCTAGTTGCCTAGTATTAATTCAATTGGCCATTGATTTAATTCTTTTAGGATGTTGATTTGAACTGAAAGGTTAGATTA